TTGTGTTGGGCCACACGTTAGATAAGACTGAGCTAGATTATTTATTAGGTTTTTATTGTTGTAAATAGTTAAGTTCAAAGTCACCTCTATTGGTCCTGTTGAACACTGTCATTGTAAAAAAAAAGTAATAGGAAATCCACTAGAGCAAGGGAAAGTAAGAGTAAGGGAAAATTCTCCAGTTGAATTACCTATTCTATGACAACTTTCCTAGTTAGGAATTAAGTTCAGAGAATTTCCTATTGCATCCTAAGAACATACAATGAAGGAATATCTCCCAGATAGGCAGTGAAAAATAACCTGATGGGGTTTAATTCTTCCCTACTCAGTGCACCAATTGGGGTGATAAAAAATGTAAAATGTTACAGTTGTCACCAGAACAAGAGGTGAGGGTAACTCTTTCAATGAAGACACCTATTCCAAAGACAGATGCCTGAGAAGAGATGTTTTTTTCTCATTTTGAAGAGATTTCTTTTCACTTCCTGTTTTGTCTGTATGACAGAAAGTGAACCAAATTCTCTCCAAAGGAATACATATGACAAAAAAAACTGCAGGGGTCTTAACCCTTTCCTCAAAAATAAAAGCAAGTGTTGGCTGTAGGTATACTTTGAAAACAAACCAAAGCACACTAACATGCACATTTAAGAGATGCAAAACTAAAATCAATTACTGTGCTCCTGCGATTAGTGTCATGTTATTTACAGAAGGATGTTATGGCTGTAGTAGTAGATATGGGTCAAGATACATAAAAATCTCAGAATATTCTGATCATTAGAAATCTTTTTTTTTTAAATAATTATATACATAACATAATCAATGTGATTCAGCATTTAAAGCACATTCACACTAATAGATTACAAGCCCAACTTTCCCCAAGGTGCCCCACCCTGGTTCCTGAACCATGTACTGATATATAGCTCCAAGCTTTTAAGTGAAACTAAAGGCAAGACTTTAGTTCATTTTGGATAGAGCAAGGGGGGTTATAACCCATCTCAATTTTTTTTTTTCTTGCCACCTGTGTGGCATTGGGAAGATTTCCCTTTACGTTCTGTCCCATAGCCAAAACAGAAGTGAGAGAATAACCCTTAAAATTGAGGAAATCCCATTGTGTCACCAAAACTAGTGTCTCCATTGGACTGTTTCCTCTCTACTAGTGTTCTGATGTCAACCCAAAATTTGGGATTTTCTTCTACTTTTACTTTTGATTATAACAGTGAACAGGGCAAATAGTATGAAGTCTCGAGGGCACAGACAGCAATTAAAAACCGACAAGTGTTCTAATCCCTCTCCATTCTATTTAAAAAACGTTTTGCCTTTTGTTATACTTTAAGCCTTGAAAAAGAGGCCAAACCCTCAAAACACATTGGTTATGTTATATACTCAAAGTTTCTAATGATCTTGCTTTTAGAGACCATTCTTTAAAGCACTCTTCACCCACTGTTACAGCCATCACACCTTAAAGTAAGGATAAATTCTGAGGTCCACAAAGAATCCTTAGCTACAAGGTCTAGCACTACCTTAAAAAGCCACACCAACAAAAAACTACAGGAGGGAACATTTCACCAAAGTATATAATTAATGACACAAAGGGAGGTGTCAGGGCTCCGGGTATGGCCAGAGGTATGTGAACTGCCGCAGGGAAACGCAGGCTTCAGATATGTTATAAACAATATAATTTATTAATACTAACAATACAAAACGCAGTGCAGTACTAAAACATAAACACAGTGCAAACAAACCAAACCAAACCACCCACAGATAACAATACATACAATGCAAGCGTAGTCAGGCAGGCCGGGTCAATAACAATCGGGCAGGTAGGAACAGGTGGAGCAGGCAGAGAGTAGTCAGGTCACGAGCCAGGTACAGCAACTAACGGGCAGGTAGGTACAGGGGGTCAGGCAGAGAATGGTCGGGGTCACAAGCCAGGGATCAAACAGGAGAAGTCAGCAGAGGTCAGGATCAGGCAGGGTCGGCAACGAGTCAGTCAGGCAGGAACAGGAACAGGAATGCAGGTAACAAGATACAGGGGCCCATGGAAAAACACACACCAAGGAACAGACTGCAGGTCTGGCCATCCCTTAAATACACCTGCAATCAGCCCCAGGTGATGGCTAATTGCCGAAGTGAACCTCTGGTTGCTGAGAGCACCCGCTGGCCAGCCCTGGTACTGCAGCCCACAAGGCAGGTGAGTCCCACCATTATTGGCAAGTCCATTCCTGACAGGGGGTGGAAAAGATTGTGTCTATGCCATCCTTGGACATTTCTCACAGCATAACACACATGATTGGTCTAATAGGTGAGCCAGGGAACATGTCCACTACTTACTGATAAAAAGATTTGCTTCCCAGCCTCTCTGAGTTCCTTACTTGGCTTTCATTTTGTTCTGTTCAGTTTCTGATTTTCATTTCTATTTTTATCTCCAGGCTTTGATGCAGACATGTTTTTAACGGATCCAGTTACAGTTGGCCTCTCCTTGTCATCTGTGTTCTTCTGGCAATTTTTTTCAGACAGAAGAAGAAAGTTCATCCAAATTATCCTCCTGGACCACCATGTTTGCCTATTATTGGAAATATGCACATTATAAATATGAATAAACCTTATATAACATTTCATGAGGTATGATCTTGGATTTTCAACTGTTGTTGCAGTGTATGTTAGGCATCGGTAAATGGCAGACCATGGTCTGGACTTAGTTGCAGTTCTATCCAGACCACCATGGCTGCACCACTTAGCAGCCTAGATGTCCTTTCCCAGGCCCAACTCTTTCACCCTGCTGCTGCACCACTGTACCTGCTCACTAGCGATGAGCCAAACACACCTGGGTTTGATTCAAACATGATTTGGGTAACAATGTAAAGTTCGGGTGCCAAATCCGAAGCCCATTGAAGTCAATAGGAGTAACAGCATGTTAAATAACAGTATTGGCCATTTTCTAAACTAATAGGGAAGGGATTGTCAAACAAATGACATGGGGGATTTGGAACTGCACAGAAGAATTCTTTGAACAATAAAAAAAAAAGACCAACAGAACTTTATAGATACTCGCATTTTTATCACATTAGGTACAAATTCCTCATAAAATTAATATATATAAAATGACAGCTCCCAGCTGCTTTATTCTGTTTGTAACAGAGTTACCCCAGAGTTACCCCTGGCAAGGTATCCCCTCATGTTGAGGCATTTGGTCTGGTATGGTTCAGGGGGTGAGGGTGCATGCTCACCCCCTCATGCTTTGTGCTTATATAAGTGTCTGAAGTGGATTTCACAGGGGACCTTGCACTTTTTCTTCTTGATTTTCTTTTGTGTGATTCCCCCCTAAAATCCAAAGCTGATCTCAAGGGGCCATACATAGAATTTGGTGGACCTCACACCATTTTGGGCAGTGGTCCTCTTTTTTGGGTACCCCCCATTTTGAGGGCATGTCGCCTGGAATGGTAAAGGAGGGGGCATACATTTTTTCTACCTTTGCTGGCCTGCCAGGGTACATGTATGAATAAGGGTCTGTTCTGGATTTTTTGGAGGACCCCCATGCTTTTCTTTATTTTTTTTTGTGAGAAAAAAGATTAAAATATATACTAAACCCAAAGGGTCTGAGGTAGTATTTCGGTGAAACCCCACATTTTTATTTTTATTTTTATTTTTTTTTTGCGTGGAGCCTCCAATTAACTTCTATACCAGACCCTTATCTAGAATGGTCTATCTGGTATAGATGAAGGGAATCCCCGGTTGTTTGAACAAAAGTAAAGCAGCCAAGCAGCCAATGCTGTCATTTGCCAGAAATTTACACACATTTTCTTCTCTTCAGTCTTAACTGTAGTATGGACTATGGATGAATGGAGGAGGCGCAACTATCAATCATCTGCCCATCTTCCATTCTTAGATCCTGTTTCATTCATAGAAGCTCTAGTATGGCTTTTATGAATGGCAGAGCTGGGAGGAAAGGATGGGCATAGTTGGGATCCCTTGTTGAGAGCCTTTGACAGCCCTTTTGTTGTATTAATCCCCATTACTCTGGGAGCTTATGATGGCATGGGTGGTCGGGCAGGATCAGGGGTGGACTGACAACTCATGGGGTCCCCGGGCAATAGAGGATCATGGGGACCCTGTGTCCTTGCCCACACTCAAAGCACACCCAAAAAAGCCTATAAAAAAGGTACCAGGGGCATTTCCATGGAGCCCCCTACTGACCCCGGGCCCTTGGGCAGGGCCCGAGTGCTTGAATGGTCAGTCCACCCCTGGGCAGGATATATTGCTACTAACAGAAGAGGAATCATCACAAGAGACACATCCTACTGACTTTATTTATTTTTCTGTTTTTGGCTGCACTTGGGCTTTAAGGAGTTTTCTCCTTATTTTTAAGTTTTCTGCAGAATTTCCTGAACTGATTCATAAAAAGGTGTTATTCAAAATGTGTATTGTCATAATCTGTCCATTGGGTCCTGTGTATTCATGGATACCTTTTATGTGATTTAAATTTTTGATGAACTGAACAAGGGGCTTTTTCCTCTACAAGCCAAACTATGGGTTAATTTCTCTCTCCACTAATATTTGCTATATGTGTAAAATTATGACTTGGGTTTGAGGCGAAGAAAGTAGTTGATGTATACTTATCAGGTGATTAGGCTTCTTAGACTGCTCATAGATGGGTCATTTTTATTTTAATCGACTAGCAGATTAATCGAGAAAAAACAAATGGACTCCCTCGTCCACATAAGCAAGATGGATGGAGGAATCCTCCCCATTGTGCTATTGTATTCTGACAACAGGGACTCCTCTGCTGTCAGAATACACTGATCAGCCAGCACTGCTGCCAATTGGATGATTGAATGAACACTTTCCAACATACCTGCTCGACAGAGATTGTTCGTTAGATCAACTTCTATTGAATGGGAATGACCACAAATGGATCGAAATTCAACCATTCACTGCTGAACCAGCTAAATTTTGATCCATCCATGGTTAGTTTAAGACACACACTATACCAGGGGCGGACTGACAACTCATGGGGCCCCCAGGCAATAGGGGATCATGGGGCCCCTGTGTCCTTGTCCAAACTCAAAAAGCCTATGAAAAAGGTACCAGGGGCATCTCATGGGGCCCCCTACTGACCCCGGGCCCTCGGGCAGTGCCCGAGTTTCCAAATGGTCAGTTCGCCCCTGCACTATACTCATATATGTTTTACATTAGTTTGTGTCTCCTTTTGCCTGGAGTTTAACAAACAGAAAACACCTGTTATGTGAGAAATTCTCATTATTCCCTTCTCATTCACATCAGCTATATTAATTTATAAATGTTCTTCACAGTACAGAGAAAGTAAAAAAAAAGCTATTTTGTACTATTGGACACATAATTTAGACCATTAGGTTTTTTTATGCAATCAAGCTTGTTTTTAACAGCACAAGAATGCTGATAACATTATACTTGAATACAGTCCAAATGTGAGGGGTATCTGGGGACATGCATGGATTTACTGATTCTAGCCCTTCCCCTATTGTAGATAACCACTGATAAATACTTTCTTAACCTCCCTAGCGGTCTGATTATGTCAGTATTTCTGTGCTCAGAGCGGTACATTGTTTTCTATGGAAATATGTTGTTTTTTTTATTGGAGGCCTGTAATTATTATTAACTCACAAAAATCTGTCCGAACAAGAGTCTAGTAAACATCCCGGGTATGATAAAATTTGAAACACGAAATCATAAATTATAAAATAATAAATGATCATAAAAAATAATAATATAAATAATAATACATTTTATTCAATAATGTAATCAAACCAAAAACACTGAAATTTGAAATATAGCGCCAAGTTCGCACATCACTGAGCAAAGTCGCAAAATCGTTTTTCAGTGTCTGATGACGAATTTCCCCACAAATCATTATCACTCAATTCTGCAAGTGGTTCTGATTTACTATCGCTGTTCTCTAGCTGGTCTAAAACCGCTTTAGATCTAAAGGGTCACTTTTTGGATGCCATGAACGTTTCTCAGTTTCCAGGCAGAACGGTAAAAATGCAGGCAGGGCACAGGACAAAGCAGTAGGGACAAAATGTATGTGAAATGGCTTGATACAGTAATGTTTTTTAGTGTATTATGTGTATGTAAAATTTTGACATTTTTGAATCTCCCGCTGGTTCCATCCCTGTATGTCCCAACGCTCACAGGGAACGGAACCCGGACCATGGATTCCCGCATCAGCCGGAGGACATGGCCGAGGACGCAGCGGGAGGGCAGCGCTGGACTGCGGGATCCAGGGATCTCAGAGCAATGCTGCAGGGTAGTCCCAAGTGTAGCTCGGGGTTACGGCTTCTGGTACTGAAACTTAAACCCAAGCTACACTCAGGAATACCTCCAGGGGGGTTAATCCTAAGGTTTTTTTGTAGAATGTTGACACTAGCACACATACAGTATACACAGCATACACAAAGTGCAGTTCATTACAAGAAAGAAAAAATGTACCAAGGCAGCAGGCAAAATGACAAGGACAGCTCCGGCTGCATTTGTTATCACCATAGACGTTCCTTAATGGCAGAGCCCTGCGTGATGCTTATTACCTTTCCGTCCACCCCTGTGTTGTGCTTTTAGGGTAATGTGGTGCTTTATGAATAATGAATTATTAATGAATTGGGCGGTGTCTGACTCCTGTCATAATAGCTTAATCAATAATATTAAATAATACAGACAACTTGATAAACCACCACAATTCCTGAATTCTTTTATCAATGTGATTTCTTACAGAATATACAAATATCACCAATTTGATTCATAAATACATTATTTATTTGTATACAAAAATATTTATATATATTTTAACCACTAGGGGACCGCCCACAGTACATACACTGCGGCAAGGCAGCCCCTGTGTGCAGGATTACGTAAATAAATCCTGCATTTCCGGGTAGGGGGCGCGAGTCCGCCCTATCCAAAAAATTCCAGTATCTATACTGCCATTTGTAAACACTATAACTTTTACATAAACCAATTAATTTACACATATTGGGATTTTTTTTTTTTTAGCAAATACATGTAAAAGAATACATTTTGGCCAAAATTTATTATGAAATTTGATTTTTCAATTTTCTTACTGGACATGTTTTATAGCAAAAGGTCAAAAATATTGTTTTTTTTCTCAAAATTGTTGCCTATTTATTTTTATAGCGCAAAAAATAAAAAACACACACAGGTGACCAAATACCACCGAAAGAAGGTCTATTTGTGGGGAAAAAAGGATGTAAATATAAATTGGGTGCAGCATAGCATGACCGCGCAATTGTCAGTTAAAGTAACGCAGCACCGTAACACAAACCGCTTCTGTAACTGCTTCCTGACCGCCCTATTGTAGAAATACTGTTACAGGGCGGCACGGGTGACAAATATCATGTATATACAGTTGCAAGAAAAAAAGTATGTGAACCCCCCTTGGGATTACGTGGAGTTTTGCATGAATTGGGCATAAAATGTGCTCTGAACGTCATCTAAGTCACAACAATAGAAGAACACAGTCTGCTGAACATAATACTACACAAACATTAGACGTTGCCATGGTTTAATTGCACATAACATGTAAACATTCACAGTGCAGGGAGGAAAAAGTATGTGAACCTTTGGACTTAATAACTGGTTGACCCTCCTTTGGCAGAAATAACCTCAACCAAACATTTCCTGTAGTTGCAGATCAGACCTGCACAACGATCTGCAGTAATTTTTGGACCACTCCTCTTCACAAAACTGTTTCAGTGTAGCAATATTCTTGGGATGTCTGGTGTGAATCGCTCTCTTAAGGTCATGCCACAGCATTTCAATCGGGTTGAGGTCAGGACTCTGACTGGGCCACTCCAGAAGGCGTATTCTGTGCTGTTGCAGCCATTGTTTTGTTGAATTACTTGTATGCTTTGGGTCATTGTCCTGTTGCATCACCCATCCTCTGCAGAGCTTCAGTTGGCGGACAGATGGTCGTACGTTTTCCTGCAAAATGTCTTGATAAACTCTGGAATTCATTTTCCCATCAATGACAACAATCCGTCCAGGCCCTGAGGCAGCAAAGCAGCCCCAAACCATGATGCTCCCTCCGCCATGTTTTACAGTGGGGATGAGGTTTTGATGTTGGTGTGCTGTGCCTTTTTTTCTCCACACATAGTGTTGTGTGTTCTTCCCAAACAACTCAATCTTGGTTTCATCTGTCCACAGTATATTTTGCCAGTAGTGCTGTGGAACATCCAGGTGGTCTTTTGCAAACTTCAAACATGCTGCAATATTCTTTTTGGACAGCAATGGCTTCCTCCTTGGTGTCCTCCCATGTACTCCATTCTTGTTTAATGTTTTCCTTATTGTAGATGTATCAACAAAAATGTTAGCATGTGCCAGAGATTTCTGTAGGTCTTTAGCTGACACTCTGGGATTCTTCTTTACCTCATGCAGCATTCTGCGCTGTGCTCTTGCAGTCATTTTTACAGGACGACCACGCCTAGGGAGAGTAGCAACAGTGTTAAAACTTTCTCCATTTGTAGACAGTCTGTCTTACCGTGGACACATGAACATCAAGGCTTTTGGAGATACTTTTGTAACCCTTTCCAGCTTCATGCAAGTCAACAATTCTTGATCGTAGGTCTTCTGAGAGCTCTTTTCTGCGAGGCATGGTTCACATGAGACAGTGCTTCTTGAAACCAGTAAACCCAAAACAGGTGTGTGTTTTTTAAGGGCAGAACAGCTGTCAGCAACATATCCAATATCATCACACTGATTGGAGTCAAGGTTGGCTCACTCCTGGCTCCAATTAGCTCTGGGAGAAGTCATTAAGCTAGGGCCTCACATACTTTTTCCTCCCTGCACTGTGAATGTTTACATGTTATGTGCAATTAAACCATGGCAACATCTAATGTTTGTGTAGTATTATGTTCAGCAGACCTTGTTCTTCTATTGTTGTGACTTAGATGATGTTCAGAGCACATTTTATGGCCAATTCATGCAAAACTCCACGTAATCCCAAGGGGTTCACATACTTTTTCTTGCAACTGTATACATGATTCGCGCTCCCGTGGTTTTCACGCCCCTCCCAGATAGCGTCAGATTGCCCGTCAGTACACCAAAAATCACATATAACCCCTTGATTGCCAGGAACACGCTTATACACAATAAACCTCCATTGCTAGTATAGTGTCTGAACGGATCAATATCTTTGATCAGATCAGCACTATACCAGCGTTCACTTTAGTATAGCGTCCCCCAAACCGTAGCATTAGTGGGATTAGCCCCGGCACCTGCCAGCACCTGCGTTTAGCCCCCCCGCTTACCCACCCCCTTCTGCACCAGCAAGTGCAGTGTTAGTAGGTCACTGTCACTTGATACATTGCACACAAAACCGCAGTGTTTGCAGAATCAGGCCTGATCTCTGTGAGCACTTGCTGGTAAATGTTGATGACTCTCATATGCAGCAGAGTGCCAGTACTAGTGCCACTCTACCTTTTTGGTGAACTGGCGAGTACCAGCGGTCTAGTACATCCTGGTCTTTCACATACCAGCACTGCAGTATCTTGGTGATGTGGCGAGTCTCATAAGTGCAGTACAAGCTGGTGCGGTGGCAAACATAAGTACAACTACCAAGAATTCGCACACAGGCCCGTAGAGCCCCTAGTGTCCTCTCAGATGTGCTTGCAAATCCCGATTGTCAGCCCACAAATTCTGCAGCACCCATACTCCCCCCCATTCACTGCCCAACCCAGAATTCAGGTGGAAACAGCCAATTTAACTCCTCCCCTTGATTTTTTGGAGCTCTTTTTCATGGAAGATCTGTATGCATTGATTGTAGATCAAAGCAATTTATATGCATTATTCAAATTCAAACCTTGCCAGACCATATGCATGGAAACCCATTATGGTTTACAAATTTAATTTTTTTTCGGGGCCTAACCCTCAACATGGGCACTACTAAAAAATGAGAGTATAATGTGTTGTTCTCGGGGTGACCATGAATTTGACCAGCTCCACAAATTTGGCCCCTCATAAATCACCTTAACCAAAAATTTGCAGATGTCTATACTCCCCAGCAAAACATCTGCGTTGATGAGTCCCTCATTAATTTTTCTGTCTGCCTTGCATTCAAACAATTTGACCCCAGCAAGCGTGCCATATATGGAGTCAAGGTGTATAAGACCTGAGAGAGGGCAACAGGCTATACATATAAGTTTCTGATTTATGAGGGAAAAGTGTCCCGTGGAGCCCCCCAGATGCCCAGACTAC